TACAAGAGAAAAAGGAAATACTATCTTTGAGTAAACTCTTACATGTATTTCGAAATTATTTTCAAAGGTTTCTCTACAAAGCCCACTTATCTTCAGTGTTGATCACGTCAAACAAAATTGGCTATCAAAATCTACAATCTTACCATTTTTGTTAGTTGTTTTTTCGACAGTAGATGATTCGACAGTTGAAGTATGGGCATCTGCTTTCCCCACAATAAGAATGTCGAGTTTTTCTTCGTTTTATAGCATTAAAATTCTTGTAGAACACGGCCTGTGTTCTGGTGGCGGGAAGTGTACCGTCGAAAAACCGGCACCATCTGTGACGTCATTGGAGGCGTCTCCGACTAACTTCCGATTAATTACCGAAAATGAACGACCGGTCAACGGAAATACAACACTTTTCAATCCGTGATATCTCGAAAAATAAAAATCTTCCAGTTTTCTCGCTTCGCGTATGTATTGGACATAGCAAGAACTTCTTTTTCCATGTGTTAAAAAATCATCGATTTTTCCGTTGCATTTGACCTTTAAGGCAAATAACCGGAACTGACAAATACCCCAATGGCACTCAAAACCTACAATAAAAACCTGAGATCGCGGTTTAGCGGCCCTCCTTTGGGGAATTTGACTCACGATCCCTTTCAAAAGGGGTGACCTTGGGCTCTTCAATCAACGCAGGGATCATAAACAACCCAAATAAAAGGGCAACATATCATGAAACCCTAATGTTAGGCCTTACGAAACAAACACTTTTGCAGATAATTGCAGATTTAGAATTCTAAAACAACATCATTCGATGGCCACTAGGATTCAAACTTTGAAACCAAACTTCAACAAAAGTATTAAGTGATATTTAAAAAACGAGTAGAAGTGTTTTATCGTGAGATATAAACACGAGGCCGAAGACCGAGTGTTTATATCCACGATAAAACACGAACTACGAGTTTTTTAAATGACTTCTAAAAGACTACTTAATCTTTTTTTCTCAAACAATACATTGTTTTCTCTAAGGGAAAAGGTATCTTTAGGCATTGATTATTGCTTTATTATAGGGGGATTATATTTCGAAAATAATTATTTGTCTCATAAGAAGCATCGGAATGTCATTTTAGTTGCTTTTTTGTGATTTTGAAGATGCGTAGATTAGAATACGTGTCATTTTGAACATGAAGCGCTTCAAGCAAGTTCAAAGTATAGAGCAGCAAAAGCAAACGTTGGAACAATCTGTACCTTCTACTACTAAATACTCAACTAAATGGGCTAGAAAAATTTTCGAAGAGTGGCAGAAAGAGAGAATTAACAAAGATGCTTCGAAGGAAAATTTACTATGGGAGGTGAAAGACATTACCATTAATGTGCATAATATA